GGAACAGCATTGGCACAGCGCCGGCCAACTTTGAAGCTGCTCAAAAGAGCTGTTGTTCATGGATATTTTTTGTTCCAGACAACGACCTCTACATCTGAACAGAAGTCTCGCCAATGTTACAACTCGCATTCTTCCTACAACCTTGTTTTGCCCGTTTCTCCTCCTGAGTTTCAGGTTGGTGAAGAAAGTTTGATTTTACTTTATTTCTTTTTCTCAAGTAGTATATGCTCACTTTTTATTTCGCTTTTTTTTGTAAAGATTCGCTAAAAATATTATAATCATTGAACACCTTCCACACACATTTCAGTCACCATCTCCAAGCTTTTCTATGCAGGTAAGTATGTGGAGATTTGTGACGCGATGCTTGTATCACGTCAACTTGGATTTATTGCGTAGACGTCTCGAGAAGTTTTTTTATTGCTCAAATTTTTTTTATTTGTCTTCTCGAAACGTCTTATACGCCGTTATTAGAAGCTTGTGTATAGTCTCTAAGCAGTTATCATTGTGATTGTGACTCGTACGAGTCCGTAACCGAATGTATATCAGGGAATACCGTTGAAAATATATTTTAACTGCTCATACCGTGTCGTCGTAACTTTCATCGGAAAGGGACAGAAATTTCTATTCTGAGTATCTGGCTTTGGAACGTCCTTTGAAGAAGTTTTCGAAATGTTTCCAAAATTGCGGACCCAAGTCCTCTAAGTTTTGAGAAACTAGAAAGAATTTTGCAAAGCTATTCAAATTTTCAATTAGATATCAAGTTATTTTAGTTGCTTCTCACAAGTAACAACAAACCATTCGCATTTTCATAAGTTATGTAAGCCATATTTGAAAATTTCCCGATCCAGGCTACATTCGATAAGAGCACTTAATTTGATCTTTTTATAAAAAAACATTTCATATAAGTCTAATCCGCCTGCAATTCTGCTCAACTTATTTTTCATTTTTTTCCCTAATTGTTTTCTTTTGTGAAATTTATCGCAAAAATAATGCTCAGCTCAAAGTAAAGCTGATTCTTAGTATTGTATGGAAGAGATGTTTTACAGATTCCAGTTCTCCTTGGACTTGTAACCGGGACTCCCACATCTTACCTGACTTTTGTTGAAATGTATTTTTGAACAAGATTTATTGACATGTGTTCTCTCCAGAGATTTCAAATTTGCCTTACTAGAAACAAAGAATTACAATTCTAGAAAACTATTTTGGTAAATTGGCTTCCTTTCATACTACAAATGTTCTTTAGATCCCTGTGCCTTTGTATTCGCCGCCATCAGTACCTTCGAATCCATCCCGACCTAGTCAAACTAGTCGAAATGGAACACACGGTAGTCCGGAAGAACCGAGTCCGTCTTTGCAAAGCATTGGAAGGTAGGAATACCAAAACATTTGTTTCTGTGTTGTGTACTAGGTAATTTCTTTCCAGTCCGAATTCTACCGGATCCCCCATCGACACGACTGGTTCCATAAGTGATAGTTTTTATATCAACAGCGATGTAATTTCCTCGACGAATG